TCGACGCAGAACCACAGACGTCTCCGCAACCAATGGTGGATGGAAAGAAGGATGTGGATGGCAGAAATGAATGAAGTTGTCTTTACTGACGAGTCACGCCTCTGTCTGCAACACCACGATGGTCGGATTCGAGTCTGGAGACACCGTGGAGAGAGGATGCTGAACAGCTACGTTATGCACCGCCACATTGGTCCTGCACCGGGTATTATGGTATGGGGCGGTATTGGATATCACTCTCGCATTCCTCTAGTACGCATTGCCGGTACTTTAAACAGCCAGCACTACATCTCCGAGATGTTGGAGCCAGTTGTCCTTCCTTACCTTCAGGGCTTTGCCACATCCATATTTCAACAGAATAATGCGCGACCACACGTGGCACGCATTGTGCAAAGGTTCTTCTTCAATCACCAGATTGAATTGCTTCCCTGGCCGGCTCGCTCTCCAGATCTTTCACCGATAGAAAATATGTGGTCCATGGTTGCTCAACGATTGACCCAGATTACACTCCCAGCTGCCACACCAGATCAACTTTGGCAACATGTGGCAGCTGCTTGGTCTGCTGTACCCCAAGAACAAATCCAAAGTCTCTTTGAACCAATGCCGAGGCGTGTGGCAGCGGTGATCTCCAACAATGGCGGCTACTCTGGCTTTTGATCCTGGCAGGAACACACTTCACAGAAGTCTATAAATTTAATCATTTGATACTTAGTCAACATGATATCTACAAAAGAAATTTTGTTGTGCTATCTCATGTCTTTCTTGGTGTTGCATTTACGGTGGCCAGCAGCGTATTTCTCAAAGTTAACTTGAACATTTTCAGAAAACTACTACTCGTTTTTCTAAATTCTGCTAATATAAAGAAAGTGAATTGTGTTTTGTAAAAAAACAGTCTATAGGAACAGCGACATCTAGCGACATTTCCCAGAAACAGGCAGTCGAGGTGTGGTCATCGAGCCATGAACATCGAGATGAACCTATATCCCCGTTAACTAACTTTTATTATATTTTCTGATTATTGTATTTTACGTAAATGCCTTCTTTATTGCACCTCTGAATGTTAAATTTCTTAAATGGAGTTAAACCCTTGTACATTCAAATGTCCTGTTAAAATTTTCAACTAAAAATATTGGGCGTCTGACTGCTTGCCATAGTTTGTAATATCGCTAAACATTATTCAATGAATGAACCGATAAATTAAGATTAATCAAACGTTTGAGCGATATTAATCTTAACGTTACCATAACAATATCACTTAACATACACACACCAGCAATCGTGCCATATTTAATTTTGATAGCGCCTTATTTTCTGCCTAAATTTTAACTAATTCTGCACAATATTTTTAATTTAATTCTGAGGAATGGTTCATAAGGGTATCTCTCTAATGTACTACGTAATAGACATGCCGTTGCTCATCGCCTTGGCCACAGATATTGCATTGGAGTTTTCTTGTATCTTGGGAACAAAAAGTGATAATCTTGGCGTCATTTTTACAGATGCATAGAAATTTCAATTTAATTTGATTTGATATATTTTTTACTGGAGGCTAGCCAAAAGCATAAATATTGCTTGTTGAATAATAAAAACATAATCCATTCACTGAAAAATATGGCTCTTTATTAAAAAATAGCATAACTAATTGTGAAATAAATAAAAGTTATTGCTGAAATCTTAAACTTCAGCATTGTGTGTTTCAGTTTAATTTTGTTTATGAGATTTAAAAGATAATGGAAGCAAAGCAACTGGCATTCAAAAGATATCTTATTTTAAATTATTCTTATTTTTAACGGGAAATAAAGATATAAAGGGTGTTTTTTGAGAGGTATAGAACTTTAAATTGCAATAAAACAAAGATGTATTATTCGATTGACATGAATTTTTTTTTATTCGAAAGATAATCTTGTGGCATTACATTTTAAATATGATTTCTGGCATAGGACTGCCACGGCTGGCTCGGATGTAGTCCAATCTGGACGACCATTTTTCGATGACTTTTTCCAACATTTGTGGCCGTATATCGGCAATAACACGGCGAATGTTGTCTTCCAAATGGTCAAGCGTTTGTGGCTTATCCGCATAGACCAATGACTTTACATAGCCCCACAGAAAATAGTCTAGCGGTGTTAAATCACAAGATCTTAGAGGCCCATTCACAGGTCCAAAACGTGAAATTAGGCGGTCACCAAACGTGTCTTTCAATAAATCGATTGTGGCACAAGCTGTGTGACATGTTGCGCCGTCTTGTTGGAACCACAGCTCCTCGACATCATGATTGTTCAATTCAGGAATGAAAAAGTTAGTAATCATGGCTCTATACCGATCACCATTGACTGTAACGTAGTGGCCTTCATCGTTTTTGAAGAAGGATTCCATCAGCCCATAAAGCGCACCAAACAGTCAGTTTTTCTGGATGTAACGGTGTTTCGACATACACTTGTGGATTAGCTTCACTCCAAATGCGGCAGTTTTGTTTGTTGACGTAGCCATTCAACCAGAAGTGCGCTTCATCGCTAAACAAAATTCGCTTATGAAAATCGGGAACAACGGCAATCTCGTTTTGGGCCCATTCGACGAATCTACGCCTTGCTTGCTGATCGTTTGGATGAATTGCCAAACCAAACTGAGAATAAATCACTTGACAGCTGTTAAATCGGTTGCCATCTTGGAAAGTAATGCCAACTTAAACTTCTATACCTGGAAAAAAAATACTCTGTATTACAGATTTTGTTGGTGGAAAAGGGTCGAATTGAATCACTGACAGACCCAAGGACAACTCCAAGGCCTTATTAGGAATATTTAACAATAAAACATTACAAAAATATAATGTGTTTCGAGAAATCAACAAACCCTTCATTAATTAAAAGACCCTCTAAGATTCAGCTTATTTATTTTTACGGATACTTTAGTATTGCATGCGCTTTTAAAGTAAGGTAAAGGAAATTGTACAGTACATTCAGAAATATAGTACAATAAGTAATTAATTTAATACAAGATAAATTCTATAGTAAATAAATTTAAAAGAAATGTTCGCTGGAAAATTTGAAAGTACTGTTTTGTGAAATATAATATTAGATGAAGGCATTTCGTGTATACCCATGCGTATAGTAATGCGAGTTGCTTCATATTAACAGCTTTATTGCTCAATGTTATATCGTATGACGGATTTTTCGTAAGATTTTGTAATTAAAGTGCTTTTGTGAAAAATATTTAAATGAAATAAAGGAAAATTTTCATATTTTTTGAAAAAGTGACATCAAAATCGATCCCATTTTTGACATCCTTCACAGATTGTTATTTATTTATTTTATGTAAATCAAGTGGAAAAGGAAACTTATTTTAAGATTGTGTTTAGTTGAACGCTCAATTTGTTTCTACTCTTCTAGATTTTGTTTAATATAACGCTGTTTTTACTATTTTAAAAAAATTTCAGCTCATAGTCTTTTAAAAGAAATATTTTTCTTAAGTCTCAATCTTTCTTCCCTTAGTAGAAATTGAACTTACAAATGCAATTGTTTTACCGTCCTTTCATCAATGCGTATTTTTCTGTCTCAAAATCATTTTTTTTTAACTTAACAGCAACAAACACGTGTTGAATTTGCGCAAGTTCAGTAACTTGATTCAAGATTACAGCACGATGCTCTAAGATTTCATTTGCTTCTTAAAAAGAATAACGATAAATAGAATACACCACCGAGAATGAATACCAAAAAATGCTGTCTGAAAAACCGAAAGAGGACGGGAAAAAAAAACAAATCTTCTGAAAAAAATTAGAATATATCATTGTCTGATTATTTCTAGGAACAATATTCCTTCTCTCTCTCTCTCTCTCTCAAGAACCGTCACGTTTTTATCAATAAGTTACAGTTACAGCTTTTGAACACTTCTTGAACTAAGAAAAGAAGAAAAATTTTAATAAATCAGTCAGAACAAAATTAAATAATGCAATATTCTTTAACTTTAAAAAAAATACACGCAGAGACACTCAGAAACTTATTTCACCAATTGCATATTGTGTCTACACACTTCGCAACAAAAACCTTCATTGTCTCACTGCCTAAGACAAAAAAAGAATAAGAGAAAAAACACCCGCGCGCGATGACAATTCTCTCTTTCATTATTTAAAAATTTCACTCGCAATTGCCAAACCGTGAAGTCCGTCTCAACTCTTGATGGTCCTGACTGAGTGATTTTGTTACCAGAATAATCGTTTTCGTTTTTACAGACCAAAATCTCTAATAAACGACTTCTGTACGGTTGATTAATGGTCTAAAGTGCTATTCTTCTGATAATGAACTCTATAGTCCCGCATCATCAGGGGACTTAAAGTCGCTACGCTGATGACCGTCCAGATGACGAGCCTTGATAGAACTTACGGGAGTGTGCTCGAAACATAAAGGATAACAAGTTTTAGGGTGGAGGAAACTAAAGAATAGCTAAGATGGAATCGGGCATTAAAGAAAATTGATGACGATGGTTTCTATTGTGATAAATGAATTCTCTTCTTCAGAGTTTATCTTTTTTTCAAACAGGGGACTGGTAACAGTTTGAAATCATTTGTAAAAATGGGTAGAGTTAAAAAAGGGTTCGCTGGTGTAAGGCTTTTAGGGTTATCTTGCGGAAATATAGGGTCATGTTACTTGAAATGTGTGTGAGCGCTTTACATAAAATTATTATTTGAATTGCAGCTTAATTGAGGTATTTTAATCTACTATTTATTGTCCCCCCACACACAATTCCTACTATTAGTTCACACTCTCCCTATATATATATATATATATATATATATATATATATATATTGTTTAAATTTCCAATCGTTAATAAAGTACTTTTAATTCATCCACTCAAGTTCAAATACATTTTTTAAAATTTGTAGTGCATGATACTTGATGTTAATACAGTTTTTCAAATAGTAATTCATTAATTTAATTTAATTACTTAATAAATAGTAACAAAAATGATAGACCAACACCATACATAAAAAGGAAAATCACTTATTGTGCCCCTATAGCGCAATGGATAGCGCGTTGGACTTCTAATCCAAAGATCTTAAGTTCGAATCTTAACCAGGATAGCCTAATTTCTGAGAATGTGATTCCTTTTTATTGTACTATTTTATTGAAATAATTAAATTTAATTAATGAATAAATAGTAACAAACAAAAATAATAGTCCAACACCATATGTAGAAAGAAAAATGGAAAATTGCAATGAAAATCGCTTTCTATTTTGCCATTTAATATTGTGATTCTATCATATGTATATAATATATACATATTTTTATTAATAAAGGGTGTTTTTTTGAGAGGTATAGAACTTTAAATTGCAATAAAACAACGATGTATTATTCGATTGACATGAATTTTTTTTATTCGAAAGATAATCTTGTGGCATTACATTTTAAATATGATTTCTGGCATAGGACTGCCACGGCTGGCTCGGATGTAGTCCAATCTGGACGTCCAATTTTCGATGACTTTTTCCAACATTTGTGGCCGTATATCAGCAATAACACGGCGAATGTTGTCTTCCAAATGGTCAAGCGTTTGTGGCTTATCCGCATAGACCAATGACTTTACATAGCCCCACAAAAAAATAGTCTAGCGGTGTTAAATCACAAGATCTTGGAGGCCAATTCACAGGTCCAAAACGTGAAATTAGGCGGTCACCAAACGTGTCTTTCAATAAATCGATTGTGGCACGAGCTGTGTGACATGTTGCGCCGTCTTGTTGGAACCACAGCTCCTGGACATCATGATTGTTCAATTCATAAATGAAAAAGTTAGTAATCATGGCTCTATACCGATCACCATTGACTGTAACGTTGTGGCTTTCATCGTTTTTGAAGAAGTACGGACCAATGATTCCACCAGCCCATAAAGCGCACCAAACAGTCAGTTTTTCTGGATGTAACGGTGTTTCGACATACACTTGTGGATTAGCTTCACTCCAAATGCGGCAGTTTTGTTTGTTGACGTAGCCATTCAACCAGAAGTGCGCTTCATCGCTAAACAAAATTCGCTTATGAAAATCGACCATTATTTTCGAAATAAAATTGCACAATTTGAAAGCGTTGTTCAGGCGTGAGTCTATTCATGATGAATTGCCAAACCAAACTGAGAATAAATCACTTGACAGCTGTTAAATCGGTCGCCATCTTGGAAAGTAATGCCAACTTAAACTTCTATACCTGGAAAAAAAACACTCTGTATAATATAATTATATTAATATGCATGTATTAATATAATATATACATATCGGATAGCGCGTTGGACTTCTAATCCAACGTTCGTAAGTTTGAATCCTAACCAGGATGGCCTAATTTCTGAGAATATGATTCCTTTTTATTATACTATTTTATTGAAATAATTAAATTTTATTAATGAATAAATAGTAACAAACAAAAATAATAATCCAACACCATATGTAGAAAGAAAAATGGAAAATTGCAATGAAAATCGCTTTGTATTTTACCTCTTAATATTGTGATTCTATCATATGTATATAATATATACATATAATTAATATAATATATACATATTTATTAATATAATATAATTATATTAATATATATGAATTAATATAATATATACATATTTATATTAATTGTAATTATTTAATAAAAAGTAACTAAAATAAAATTTTTCTTTGTTGATCTAAGTAGGAATTGACTTGAAATTTTTTTTATATTACTTGTGTGTGTGTTTTTATTTTAAATCAGGGGTGATCAACCTGTGGCCCACCTTGAATAATGTTGCTTCCCGCAAGATTCAATACAACTATAAGAAATGCGAATATTTTGTGCAGTCTTTAAAAAAATTATATTACTTGTTTATTTTGTAGATAAAACAGACGACACACACACAAGCGATATCATTGAGGACTCCCAGAAAGTCCTCGTGGCAGTGGTAGCCTAATTGTTAGAATCATGGATTCCTGACCGGTGTTGTCGAGTCACGGTTTCAAATCCTCATGCAACTGAAGACCCGCCATGTACAAGGGCTGATGCAAGCTAAATCTGTTTTATTCGTGGAAGAAGAGTAGGGTACTGTCTCTAGAGCCACTCTCGTCACTTGACACTCACAGTGCAAAATTATGAGGTCCGTCGCCAATAGACTTCATGTTGCCTTGAATGCAATGTTAATAAACACTACTCACAGAAAATTTTGATCCCCTCTTTTCAGAGAAAATAAAGAAATTTATTCTACAAAAATTATTGTCGTGGTGTTGTTTAAAATCTGCATTATATTTTGTATAATACTTTGGGCTTCTGTATATAACTCACTATCCACAGGCTAAAAAATTATTAATATTTTTATTCTTTTAATTTTGACGAATCTCAAAGCTTTAAAGTCAATAAAGCGTTTAAGTCAGAGAGTCAAACTGAGAATATATTTTCAAACAAATATAAATAAATGTCTTTAGATTCAATATAAATTGGTCCAACTATGAGTAATCTAGCGCTTTATCATTATTTTAATTAGCAAATACATACAATAATACAACAAGTTTAACACACTGTTGCGACATTTTTTATTAGGATTTGCTTAATTCAAGAAAACAATAGCCAAGAAATCATGTATCACGTAATAAAATTACTAATTTTTTTAAGTCTGGTTTTTAAATAAATAATTTAATCATGAACCGCATTCTTTTTTTAATTTAAGCGACTAGCTTGAAATAGTGATTTAATAAATTCTAATAAAATTTTCAGTACATTGTTACTTTCGTAAAAAAAAAAAAATGTTCATGAAAATATTACAATATTCATTTTTTTTAATGTCCACGCTAAATGCATGTAATCTAAATTACAGAAACAAATTTGTTCAATCTTTTACATAAACTATTTAAGAAGCTTTAATTTTAATTTGCAGTTTTATATTTTACTAAGAGCATTATTCTGAAATTTAATAAACCTAAAATATTCAATTTAAAGTTTTATATATCCTAGTTTTTTGAAGTAGAAGTAACATTTAGAATTCACAATATCAGAAGAATCAGCAGCAATATTTCCAATGATACCTTTACTTACAATTACACATTTTCTGATCTCATTAAATTAAAAGTTACAAACAACCAAAGATTTGAATTCGACTGTCGCAGAGATGTTATAATCAAACAGACAGCTGTTAATTTATATTCAGCCGGCACAAGTTCATGGTGCTTCGAGTTCTATTTTGCAAACGCCACCACTAACGAATGCCTATTTTTCGCATCCAAATATTGAAGGGAATTCCCTCGATAGGCATAAACAAATAAATAAAATAACTAAAAAAAGATTCTGAAAAGTTATAAAAAAAATTAACCATAGGAAGTAATCGTTACTTTAAATTCGAAAGCGTAACTTTTGCTAAGCCTTGAAAAAGAACTGAAAAAATAATTTCCATATTATTCCAATGTCTTGATATAAACGACACAAAATAGCATCAATTTAATAAAAGCCACATTTCCGGCCACCCATATCCTTCAATAACTCTGAATATTCACTTTTTTTTTTACCAGAGCACATAAACCTGCTCCATTTTTTAAAAATCTCCTCTCATAAAAAAGGGGATTCCCATAGGAGCCTTGAAAAAGGAAAAGACGAGAGAGAGAATGAAAGCACCTATAAACTGGTTTCTTTTTTTAGTTAGTCACAGCTCCCCTGCGTTTACGAAACACTCTACTGACCCATTTTTAACAACCTAATCCCACCACCCTTGCCACTCCTTTTCGAACAGATAAGAAAAGGAAGAACGGAGGGGGGTTGAAGCGAAAAGGGGGTGTTCGGGAGTCAGGAGCAATCTATGACAGGGATTTGGGAAAATCCCACGAAAAAAAGAGCCTGTCCATTTTACTGAGAGCTGGAAATGTTATCAGATGATACTGACTTTCTTTTTAGATATTTACGGTATTAACGGTCTGTTTTGCGCGGTATTTATTGGAGAATGTTTAATTGTAATTTGTCTTTTTGTCGAACAAAAGTTTAAAATACACTACATGTTATAGATTAGTAACTGATATCTGTTAATATATAATATAATTTAATGATTTAGATTTTATTTATAGCACATGCTATCTTTGCAAACTTTACAGAAATTGGTTTTAAAAAAATTAAAAATTCAAATGAATTACAAACAGAAAGGAAAATAAATATCGGTAGAGGGTTTCAGTGTATGACAAATAAATTTTAAAACCATAAGTTTAAAAAAAAATAGTAACATCAAGTGGTTATCTTAGAGTAATTTCAAAATGTGAATAAATAAATAAAATAAAGTAAAAATTTCTCTCCTTTTAAATAAACTTTAAGGTGTGTAGTTTTCCTTACATTTTTGAAAACTAATACTTCCCCCTAAAATTGCGTACATTTGATTTCTGGGCAGTGTATTTAATGAATATTTATTTCTCAAAATCTTTTTTACATGCTTCTCTTTTATTTTTCATTATGCCGAAAAATCTTCAGAAGTTTTAAAAAAGGTTTTACATCCAATAATAATGTGTTTACTCGAATCTAAAAACCACGCTGTTTTTTCCCAATATTAAACCCTACTAAAAATCAGATGTGGCTTAGAATCGAAGGGAAAAAATTTTTTGGATGGAGCAATTAGAGCAATTACGGATTCGTGTATATATTTAAGTGATTATAAGGTAAGCGTTGAAATTTTGCTTTACTGAAAGTGTCAATGCAGATATTTGGATATTGAGTGATAGCCGAAGCTCTATTCAGCATCTATCTGAATGGTGAAGGCATGGAGACAGAACGGCAATGAGTATTGTCCAGCTATTAAATAGGTTGAGTGCCAATGTTAAGATCTTTTTCAGTGGGTACCATCGCACTTGAATGTCTGCGGGAATGAGATTGCAGATGGTTTGGCTCGTGAGGGCAGCCATAAAAATTCTACGCCTTTTTCAGAATTTGCTACCCGGGTCAAACAAGATATCAGAGGATATGGAGGTAAGCCCTTGTACATGAGTGGTATGAAGGAAACCATCTTGGTGTTGCTTTGCTTGGGACAAGCAGCAGGCGAGATGAAACTACTCTTGCTAGGCTTCGCAGTGGACACACACTTATGCTCAACTTCACGTGGCGGGTCTT